CATCCACCCCTCCCGCTTACAGCGCATCCACTCCTGCCGCAAGCTCATCGGTATACCATGCTTCAACTCCTGTCTACAGCGCGTCTGTCCCCGCCTACAGCGCTTCCAAGCCTGCTGAGAGCTCATCGGTCTACCACGCCTCCACCCCGGTCTACAGCGCGTCGACTCCTGCAGTGAGCTCGTCCGCATACCACGCCTCCACTCCAGTCTACAGCGCTTCTGTCCCCGTCTACAGTGCTTCCAAGCCTGCCGAGAGCACTCCGGTCTACCATGCTTCAACTCCCATCTACAGTGCCTCCAAGCCTGTCTACAGCGCATCTCACCCAGCCTACAGTGCCTCCACCCCCGTCTACCACGCCTCTTCCTACGGAACTGGTTACGTCAAGCCTACTCCTAAGCCTTCATCGGCTGTCGAGTACCCCCACAGCGACATCACGACCACGCTCACCTCCACCCACACAGCTTGGGTGCCATGCAGCACCTCTGTTGGCCACGGAGAGCACTCCAGCGTCATCTACTCAACCTACTTGACCCCAACCTACAACACTGTCACTGTGACATCGACCATCCACGGCTCGAAGCCCACATCTGACATGCCCGTTTACCCAGCTGAGACTCCTTCGGCCCACCAGCCCACTTACCCTGCTGGAACTCCTGAGGCTCCTAAGCCCACGTACTCAGCCGGCACCCCTGAGGCTCCCAAGCCATCCCACCCAGCCGAGACTCACCCCGCTGGAACTCCTGAGGCTCCCAAGCCAACCTACCCAGCAGGCACCCCCGAGGCCCCCAAGCCTACATACCCTGCTGAGACTCACCCCGCTGGGACTCCCGAGGCTCCCAAGCCAACCTACCCTGCTGGTATCCCTCCCGCTCCCCAGTGCCCTGCTCAGGTCACTGTCACCAAGACTGAGCATGTAGTCGAGACCAAGACCGTCACTGTCGGTGGAGCTTATACTCCCGGCCCAGCCCCTTCTGCCTACCCCGAGGGTATGAAGCCATCCACTCCTGCGGAGCACTACTCAGAGGCCCCTAAGCCATCAGAGTCTGGAAAGCCTTACCCAGTCGGCCCCAAGCCTTCAGCTTCCACCAAGCCCTACCCCGTTGGCCCCAAGCCTTCTTCTGAGGTCAAGCCTCCCTACCCTTCCTCCGGTAGCTCGATCCACTACAGTGCTTCGTCCGCGCCTTACCCGATCCACACTCCCTCCTCCTCCAAGGCCTACCCCACCGAGTACCCTACCCCTTCGTCATCCACTAAGGAGTACCCGGCTGCCACCCCCTCTTCCTCCAAGGGCTACCCAGTTGCCACTCCCTCTTCTTCCACCAAGGAGTACCCAGCTGCTACCCCCTCCTCGTCTACTAAGGAGTACCCCGCTGCCACCCCTTCAAGCTCGGCGGCTCACTACCCCGTGAACACTCCTTCGTCCTCGAAGGTGACCCCCCAGCCCACCGGCTACGTCGCCTACCCTCACTACTAAGCTACTCGGGTAGCTTGAGCGGATTCTCTTCACTTATCAAGCAAAGATTTCGGGCGGTCTAGGTGTTTTGACGGCAAAACAATTGCTGTAGCTCTTCTGTCTTGGAGCCTTCATTCCCTCGCCTTGTATAGCTCCAGCGTTTTAGTTCTGCTTTATCATGGTTTTCACGCGTTTGGATTTTCCTCTTCAACTGTTTATATTCAACGAACAACTGGTATAGAATGGTTACGACGGGCACGAGCTTAGTAGTAGTAGACAGAAATTATGACCAACTTTTGTCACTCCTTCAAAAGTGCTTGTTCATCTTTCCCCGTGCGTATTTTGTTAAGTGACTTCGAAGCATGTGCGACACCAACAAACAGCTCTAGCACCCAATGACGTCAGCAAAACTACTCACACAATATTTCTCAGATACTAGCACTGGCTGGCGCAAAAGAGCCAACAACGCGCTTATGCACGTACAATCAATCTATGCAACCCCGTACTCGTGTTACCAGCGACGTTGCCGCATTGGGCAGTCTTCCCGCGCAATCGATAGTCTATCTCGTATCAGTGCGCGCGAACATTTCTTTCACATCGTCAACCCACGAACATGCATCGTGAAATGTGCGCATGATGGCTTTCGTCAAATCCTGCGATAAGACACTGCGGGTGACTCCGTATTTCTGGATATGAGACGAATGACCGAAATTTGGCACCGACATGCTCAAAACTTGCTCATCCAAGCAAGCTTTCATGTTGAGAGACTTGTTCGGCTAGTCGATGGAGCGGGATGACTGCATGCGATGGCCTGGATGGGCACTGTTCTTTGTCATCGGCTGTCGCAAAGACTTGTATGTGCTAGGGTGTAGCCAATACTCGCAGAAGTTTGTCGGCTGGACGGCACGTCTAGACAGACTCAACAAGTGTACTAGTAAGAAACACACTAAGAGACGGCTTGAATCTGTAGTTTTTTCAGCGATCAAGATAGGCAGAGGATCGAGGGTTATCAGTAGAAGACCTTCGTAGAGTAATGGCTTACGGCAGAAAGTAGAGAGAATGGCGCACTGAACGCCGTCCAGCGCGATAAGCGTTTGAGATGACTGGTAGAAGGGAGATGTAGTTGCTTTGAGGCATTGGACTGGAATAATTGACCAGTCATCGTTTGGCTCATCCTCGTTCTTTCCGTCTCTTGCAAACTCAATATCAATGACACTGATCATGCCCACAAGCTCCATGAGATGACAAAGATGAAAAGTTCAGGAGGAAATTTCCCACAGACTGCGATCAACGGTAACTCGGGTCGATGTCTTTTCGCGTCTTCGATCCTAGACATGTAAAAGAGCTAGCCATATCGTCGAAATAGTGGTCCGTAAGTCCATAAGGATGCGACCAGCTGGGGTTTCGTCATACCGAGCGTGAGATGCTGCGTCCAATAAATAAACTAGAAGACTCGGCTTGCACAGTCATTCTGGCGGGAACAAAGCCTTCACGTCCTGGATTATGGCGCCAAGATTATGGTAAAGTTGATAGGCGACGAAGACTTGTTCGATTGACGAACCATCCCTATGGCCGGGTCCATCGCCGCTCCGAGATTATGTTAACCCAATTCGTTGACACAGATACAAAAGTAGTTGTGAGGTGACTGCCCGAATGTCGCAAGGCTGAAGTTGTGACGATGGAGTGCTGTAACGAGGGCCTTCCATGTCGCCCGTGCGTCATCGCCACGATTTCCCCAGCCTCCGTTAGCGCCTTTTCGTCGCATCGTCACTGTCTCGACGCGCCAGATGTCGCCCTGAAGTGCGCAAATCCGGCGCGTCCATCTAGCGCAACCGCAGAACCAGCGCGAACATATCACGACACACTCGAAACATGGACGATCCGTCTTCACAACTCCACCTCGAGATTCGCGACGCCGTCGTTCGCGCGCTCGCAACGCGCCGGCCCATCCTCCACCACCTAAACGCCGATTCGTCTTGGCTTCTTCAGATACCGCGTCCAGCAAACGCCGTCAAACACGGGAGCCGGGTATACTACAATGTCTTGATAGATCCGTGGTTCGTCGGTGGGCAGAGCGATGTCGCGAAATGGTTCAGCCAGCAATTCCACGCGACGGAGAGCGCCGTGAAGAGCATTGCCGAGGTGGAGGAGTTGGCACGACAGGTCGAAATAATGGTCGGAGGACTGCGACTAGGCAGGGGAAGAAGCAAAAAGAGGAAGGTGGAAGAGGTGGATGAGGAGAGTTATGTGGACTGCGTGGCTGTTAGCCATGAATTCACCGACCATTGTCATAAAGAGACGCTTTTAGAGGTTCATCGTGATGTGCCTGTGCTCGCGACAGAGGTATGTCCTCATACGACATGATGAAGCGTACATTGTGCTAATAAGCATCGCAGCAAGCCGCCAACCTCATATCCTCTTGGAACCACTTCCGCACCGTAATAACAACACCCACCTTCGCCGACCACTCCGACTGGCACGACTACAGTCTCTCGCCGCTCCCCTCATGGCTCAGCATATCGCGTCTTACAGCGTCCGGAGACTCTCTCTACCTCCACTCCGCGCTCTTAATAACCTTCGCCACGCATCCCTTCCTATCGACAGCGACGCCTAAGAAGCGTCTCTCTACACTCAGTATAAATGGCGATGGGGCGGAAGAACTATCGTCTAATATCAACGGCGAGGAAGCGGAATGTGTAATCTACACACCACACGGCATCCCCCACGAAGCCCTCAGCCCAATCGCCACAGCCGACCCACCACTTCATACCCTCGCTTTCCTACACGGCCTCCACGATGTCTCTATATCCTCTGCCCAACAACTCAACCTCGGCGCGAAGAACGGCATCCTCGCACAACGCACGCTTCGAGCAAAGTACTGGGTCGCAACACATGACGAGGTGAAAAAGGGAGGAGGCCTGATAAGTTGGTTCCTCCGCCGAAAAGTGTGGACAGTGCAAGATGCGTTGAAAGAAGCGAGAGCACAAGATGGGGATGTCTTTGAAGATGTGCACTTTCAGGGTATGAAGAATGGAGAGAGTAGGGTTTTGGAGTAATATGAGCCGTTTTTTTGGAGGGAAGGCGAAGATTGGTTGTAAGTAATTTGTTTTGGTCCCGAGTATATACCCAATTTCGCGAAGCAGGGCCGAATCAAAGGCATTTTCCAGATCATCGACGTATGCAACACACTCGCAGTACTCTTCCACGTTAAGCTAGGGAAAAACTAATTAGGTCTGCAGCCTACGTTTTTGTGGTTACAGCCTACATCCACATAAAAATATGCAAAGTGGGATATCTAACATTAATGTAGGCTCTAGGCCTGTTCGGTTTTTTCTTGTATGAGGTGCTATACACGCTCCTAACACCGCACGAAGACAAAGCTACTTAAACATAGTAATACCATCGTTGTGAGTAACAGATTCAGCTGCTCACTCGATGCTAGGCAAAGTATCATCGCACCTGACGAGCCTGGAACAACTTCCTGATCCCCCAACACACTCATAGTATTCATCGCATGAATTGCATCCGGGGTGTTCAGCCTTGCACTCATCGTCCTCTGTACAGGTCCACATTCGGCAGTTGTTCTCCTGCTTCTTCAACAGCGAGCTGGTATGCGGTACAGTAACCAAGGCGCTTGGGTCTCGGGGCATGACGTCGTTCGGGACAGCCCACAGCTGTGCTTCAGACGTAACTGCGCGTCCATCGATGCCCGTCCACATTTCACGCGCCTCGGGTGGGTACTTTGCGACGTACTCGGCTAGGTGCCGTGGCGAGAGTTGAACGTAGTCCATGACCGTGTCGTGAGCAGGGTTGAGCCTCCGAAGGACTCCGTCTTGTCCTAGTATGGTCATACCGTTTGTTTCGGTATTGAGAGATCGGAGTACTTCGCGGAGAGACTACAGCGTTTGCTTCAGTACAAGAGTATACGCATGATGAGTGGGTGTTTCTAGATGCACTCACTTGTTCTTGCGTCGCTGTTGAGAAGAGGAAAGTCGCACTGGCGTATATCACAACTGAGAGCTTCATTGTGGGAGTGAGGAGACGAGATGAGCAAGGAAGGAAGGCCAAGTAGTTTGGTACAGGAAGTGTATCTTCGTGTATACATGCCAGCGAACTTGCGAATACTTGTATGACATTGTCTCGTCGCGATCAGGTAGCTACTTGATGCAAACATGCACAAGGTAGTTTACCCGTACTGCCATATACGTCATACTCAGCAAGAAAGTAAGCACTGCCCACATAAAGCCAATACATTCCCCTCGTTTGTGCGCCTGTGCCGCAATAACTTCAACTCGCAGCCTAGAACTTCTTCGTAAGGTCAGCATTACACTGGCATTAGCCTGATTACCGTTGTTCACGCAGGCTATAATACATACATGCACAGCAACGCCCCTCATCTCTGCGTTCAACAGCATCGATAATCTTACATACCTAGGTACCAGCATGTCTGCACCACAACCTCATTCACCCCCGCAGGTACAAGGTTCATCATCGCCTGAACAGAGCGTAGGCCAATCAACCAGATGTTCAACACAGGCAAACCTAACCCTATCCATAGAAGACCGGCGTCCACGAACCGAGCCCTGCAGACCCGTCCAAGGCCAGAGCTGCGCTCGCCGAGTTCTCCGCAACGATGAAGCGCCCAGCAGATCTCAAGTGCTTCCGCCAAATAGGCTGTGACGGCATCTGCAGGACCCTCCGTAGGGTGCCAGCACCGGATGACGAGCCAAATGGCATAGAGGTCTATGATGCACAGCCCATGTCACCGTTCCTGTTGAAGGCGTACCTTGATCGACACGACTGGAGTCAGACGACTGAAGATCGCTTTCGTGGCGTGGACGGCAGGAATACGCCGAAAGAGTAAGTGTTGCTGTATGATGTGGCAATAAGCTGATATCTTCTCTAGACAATGGTTTAATCCACTCCCTGGTGTCTTACCACCTCCAAGTACGAAGAACGAGCGTATGGCAGAGAGAGATCGATTCAACGAGGAACGAAGAATCCTGGAAGAGAAAATAGCGAAAGGGGAAGTGGAGGCAGAGGACCCGGGGCCAGCTTGCGGGGCTGTGCGAAGCAACTATGATCTGAGTCCACGGTAGTGGTTACCCCCTCAGTCAGTGGAAGCACCACAGTTACACGTAGTCATGCACGTGAACGTCCCAAAAATGTGTTCAAAAGATAGCGCGACTAATGCGCTGATGCATATTAAGGAAGAAGGCTCATAGTATACTACATGAAGATCAAGATCCCATTTTTCCATCCATCGTCGCTTCGCATAAAAGAAAACAAATCAAGAGGGGCTCCTTGCCACCAACGCCATTACTATGCAATGCTCATCTCTCTGTGATGATGTTCCAACAAGCCCGAAGTAAAGGAGGAATGAAGAAGGTAGTCGCTGAGGGAAAAACAAACAATGTCGCCAATCTTGTGGGAATATATAGGTACACGTGTATGGAGGTGTCAACGGAAACAGGGGTAAGGTGAACAAACAAATGCAAACAAAGTGATCGAATCCGTGGATGCAGGTGATGAGCTAGACGCTCAACCCCACGGTTCGTAGAATGGGTATGAATGTCGACATGGACAAGGTCGCTTACTGCGATTTAGGTACACACTCTGTGTACTTCGCTGCGAGTTCCTGTGCGATCTCAGGCGTCTTGACTGCGTAAAGAACAGACTGGAGTCCGCCTTCCTTGGCAGGCTTGGTCGCCATGACCATCTTCTTGCTACCGCCAGTGACGGTGGCAGGCAGCGCAGGTAGGATCTGGTAGTTGACTGGGGTGGCACCGCTGGGGATGCGCACTCGCACAGAGCATTTGCCCGTCTGTTTGTCCTTGAGGATCCAGAGCGGGCCCTTTGCTATGTTCGTCCAGCCCTTCTCTCCCTCCTGGTGTTTGGCGAGTACGACTTCAGTGTGGAAGACAATGTCGTAAGTGTTGAGCTCATCCTCAGTCAACTTGGTCAAGTCAATCTGTTCTTGCTTGCCGCCCTCTTCGTCATCTTCTGCTGCAGACGCGGCACTGGTATCGCCAGCTTCAGAGAGAGGCGTGTTTGCGCGCGAAGAGAATACAGACGAGGTCACAGAGTTACCACCGGATGGAGCGAAAAGCGAAGATCCACCTGTGGACGGGGCGAAATTGAAGATCGAGCTGGGTGGTGGTTTCGCCGGCGTTGTGGAGAACTCGCCAGCACCAGGAGTAGCAGGCTGGAAGTTAAATTTAGGTGCAGTGTCCTTCTTCTCAGTAGCAGGAGCTCCGCCAAACTTGATCGGAGTACCCGCCTTGAAAGTCTGATCGCCGGCAAACGTGTCGGTCTTCGGCGGCGCGGTCTTGGATGCAGCACCGAAATCGAAGAACTGGAAAGGTTTGTTGGAAGGAGTTGTAGTACCGTTACTCTGTCCAAACAGAGAAGAGGCGCCACTGTTCTCCTTCTCTGCCTCGGAATCATTATCCCTGGTGATCCTTGAGAACAAGCTGCCCTTGGAACTTGACTCCTGCTGATTGTGCTGTTGGGTATCTTCGGATTCGGTCTCCGATGCATCGACCGAGCGCTTCGGAGGCGAAGGCGGCTCTGCTGACCCAGCATTGTCTTGTTGTTGGTCGTCGTCATCCGACTCTTCCTGGTTGCTGGAAGAAGGACCTGATAGGTGGCCGAAGATATTGGGGGATGATGCTTGCGACGTGGAGGCGTTGAAAACCGATTGACTGCCTGTAGACGGCGCCGGGCTGGGAGCTTTGGGAGTGGAAACTCCGCTCTTAGGCTTCAAAAGTCCAGTGAACGGGTTCTCCTTGGGTGAAGTACTTCCAGAAGTACTACCAGGTAACACGAATTTGGTCGAGGCAGCAATCTCCTTCTCCTTGGCGAGACGGTCAGCCTCAGCCTTGTCGTACCTGGCAGACCACTCCTCCTTGGTCTCATCATCTGAGTCGTAGTCCTCATCCATAGCCTTCCTCTTGCGTTCTGCGGCGAGTTCCTCGTAAGTCTTCGCGGTCTTAGTGAACTGAGCCATAAAGCCGCCTGCCGGAGCACTGCCGAAGTTTGGCTTGAAACCAGCAGAACCTGATGTACTGGTGGAGGAAGCACCGAAGCTTGGCTTGAAGCCAGACGAGGCTGCCGAAGTTTCTGCACCGTTAGTGGGAACTGAGGGCTTGAAACCGAAACCGGGAGTCGATGCAGCTGGCTGCGAGGGCTCGGTGGCGGACTTTTCAGCTGTCTTTGGGGCGAACAGGCTTGTCGATGACGCTGGCGCAGGTGTAGAGGGCTTGTTTCCGATCGCCTTGGCAAACATGTTTGATGTCGCCGTGGCTGGGGCACTGAGCTTCGGTGTAGAAGCCGAGAGCTGCGGAGTCGGACCAGCAGATGCTTCCGTCGCACGAGCTCGCTTGGAAGGGGATGGATCGCGGACTTCGTGGCTGTCATCGTTGACCTTGCGCTTCGTGGACAAGCTTGATTCATTGCCGGTGATACCTCGTCCGGCTGCACGTTGCTTCTTCACGTTGTCGATCTTCTTCTTAATGTCGACCGCATGCTGGTAGTGCCAAAGCGACACGCTTGACCAGTCTGCCGTGGGAGGAAGGTTGCTCAGCTGTTGTCGGTACTTTTTGTTCAACATTTGCAGTTGAGCAGTCAGATCGGATATCTGCTTCAGTAGGCCATCGCTGCTCTGCGCGCGAACGGCACCTGGAACAGCCCAGTCTTTGGGAACGTGCACCTTGGGAACCTTGGGCATCTCAGATGCCTGCGATTCTCCCCTCGACTCGGAGGTAGTACTGTTGAAGATCGATGTGGCCGGCGCAGGGGAGGGTTGCGAGGGTTCCTTCGAAGCGCTGAACAAGTTGGGACGATCTGTCGAAGGTTTGGGCAAAGAGGCAAAGGGGTTGGAAGCCTCAGGTGCAGCCTTGGGTGTTTCTGATGCCGATGTCGATGCAGGGGGGAAGCTTGACTGTGGCTTTTTGAACAAATTGTTGGAATTGTTGCTCTCGGGCTGGAACGTTTGGGAGAAGAGGCCAGAGCTGGTTTTGGGTTGAGCAGCAGTGAACATGCCCCCTTGAGACTTCTCCACGTCGGTTGTCTTCGCTGGCTGTGGTGTGCTGAACGGCTGGAATAGACTTGACTTTGGCGCTTCGGGAGCCTTCACTGTTGCTGCGCCCGCATCCTTGTTGGCACCAAATATGCTGAAACCTGAACTGCTTCCTGTAGTGGTAGGTGTGTCGGCTGGCTTGGGAAGTGCCGCGAACGGGTTGAACTTGGGGGTATCGGCAGAAAGGCTGCTGCCAGACTCTTCAGGCTTCTTGAGGCTGCTGAACAGGTTCGTTGGTGCAGCTGCTCCAGAAGACGTGTTCTCGGCGGTCGGGAGGTTTGCGAACGGATTGCTGGACGGAGCAGAACCAAAGAGGTTTGTTGGAGGGGCGCTTGACGTCGTGCTGTTAGACTTCTGCGCATTCGCGCCGAAGTTGAATAGATTCGACGCAGGAGCGGTGGCCGTAGCATTTGGCGTGCCTTGCGCGCTCGTACCCAAGCCTCCAAAGAAGTTGTTCTGCTTGGGCATTTCCGAGGTACCCTCCGTCTTCTGTTCGTTGGAACCGAAACCACCAAACATGTTGTTTTGGGGCGCAGCCGCCTGCTTGGAGGCATCTTCCTTCTGCGCATTGGCACCAAAGCCGCCGAACGTGCTTGGTTGTGAAGGCGCCGTAGACTGTGTTGAGTTGCCAAATCCGCTGAAGATACCGCTCGTCGCCGGCGTACTCGCGGTGTTCGAGGCTGTGGTCGTTGCGGCGCCGAACGTGAAGGGTGTGGATGCGGGAGCGGCGGTGCTCGTAGCGTTTGGGGCGCCGCTGGTGGTGCCAAACATACCACCTGAGGTCGCAGCGCTAGATGTACCAAACATTCCGCCGGAAGAAGCGGCGGTGGATGTACCGAACATACCTCCTGATGATGGTGCAGCGCTCGACGTTCCAAACATGCCTCCAGTAGGCGCAGCGCTGGACGACCCAAACATACCGCCTGTGGGAGCTGAACTGGTAGTACCGAACATACCGCCTGATGAGGCTGCGCTTGTGGTGTTGTTCTGGCCTAGGCCGCCAAACGGATTACTTTGCGCCTGGTCGTTGTTGCCGAACATGGACGATCCCCCAAATGCGGGCGCAGGCGTGCTGCCATTGGTCGCGGGTCCCGAGTTGGCCGTCGCGAATGGGTTTGCACCTCCAGCTGTGAAGTTGAAGCCCGCAGACGAGGGCGGTGTAGGGTTGAAGCCTGTGCCCTGGTTGCTTCCTCCGAACGCTGGAAAAGACGAGGCAGCGAAGTTGTTGCTCGGGGCAGCGGACTGCGCGGGTGGGAAGCTGTTGGTCGCGCCGCCGCCGAAGGCATTGCCGCCACCGAAGCCGTTCGCGCCGTTGCTCGCGGGGGCGGGTGTTGAGGCGCCGAAGCCAAAGGCGTTTTGTTGTGGTGCGCCAAAGTTCGCGCTCTGTGATAGACCCTGGTGAGCGCGTGCGTTAGCAAAGGCCTGCATCCTGCGTTGCAACTCGCGTCGCCCTTTCGGGGTGTGGCGGCTGGTCGACATGCTTGCGCAGCCGTCGAGGGTGCGGTGGGGAGTGTGGTGTTGTGGTTGGGGTACTCACGGAGGTGGCGCCTGCTGGTCGTCGGGCTTTCGCGGTCTTGATTCTGGGGGACAAAGAGTCAGCACGCGACGGACAAAGCGCATCGTGACTAGAGAGGTCTGGGATAGACTCCAACGATGACTGGTGAAGGTGACTTACTTGCGGGCTGCCAGCTGTGCTGCCGTCGCCTTCTGGGGCACATCCGCGACTTCATCGCGATCGTCGTAGGGGTTTTCGGGCCTCCCCTGGTCAAAAATGTTGCCCCGCTTATTGGACGACATGGTCGCGATCACTCGAGGAGTCTGAAAGTGATGGATGCGGTCGGTGGCTGGTTGGGATGGTTATAACTCCATGGGACGCGCGTGGTGGATGAAGATGGTGCTGAGATGTTTTTGATGTTGGTAGGGAAGTTGCGACCCGTGCTCGACGTCAGGGTGGGCCTTGTCCATTGCCCAGCAACGCCGGGACTTTCTCTCACCCTGACAGCAAACTAGCCCTGCCAGAGAATAGCAACACCGCATACAAAGGACTGACTTCTACTTCCATGTGCATATTCACAAACTTTTACCACTACTACATGTTCCCTCACTCATATCCAACGCCTCTTGTCGGGTAAAGCCACAACCTGCCTTGCAGCACTATCGAATACAAATTTTTCGATGAGCCTAAACCGATTCAGATGCTGACTACTCTCGAGCACATTCGTCATCTTCTCGATGCTCGAAACGCGTCCAATATTGTGGCACCGCGTTGAATGGTAGCGCATCGCGTTGTGACACAACTAAGAAAAGAAGGTTGCCCAGAATGCATTACACGCAGCATTCTGACATGAATTCGATAGGTCATAAGGCGTCTTTCCTCGTGATCGTATCCTTTAAGGTGATGTCTTTCCAATGTGATACATCGTTGATGGCGGAACGCGTGCTGGCTCCCGATATGCGTAGCGTGAAGGTTCCAAGATTTCAAGGTGCATGCTGTTGGTGCAAGACCGGCCAGAGGAATCACAGTTTTTGTCCGTATGGGTGTTGTCATACATACTTGACTCTCAAAATCGAGGAACGGTGCACGTGTGGTATCGCTTGAAAGTGTTAGAGAGGAGATGGTTGGACAAGAGTGAGGGGTAAAAGATGTGTTTCATCCCAGGGTGTTTCAGGCGGGCCGCGGTGAAGAGTGCGCACGTGAGGAGGTACTTGAGGGCTTTTGTGGGCCAGGCCTTCTCTCGTCACATGCATACTGCGTTGATAACAGCCTTGAATGTCTGATGTGGCTTGGGCTAGGTCCAGGATTGGTACTGCGGGGTAAGAGTATCGTGAGATATCAGCCAATTCCACGATGGGCGGAGCACTTGCATGGCTGAGTCGTGCGGGCTATGAGAATCTAGGTCAGCTTCAGCTTTGCAGCATCTCCGCGCCTCGAACCGACTCGTGGCCTCCAGTGATGAAGTGCTGCGCGTTCTGAGCTGCTGTGCCACTAGATTGCGCGGTGTTGATGCGCGACGGGGCATACGGGGCGGGGCGAAAGAGGAGCGAGATGGAGGTAGCGGTACGGAAAGCGCTGAGGCATATCGTCGGACGGCACGGTAGCACTCTATTCCGTGGCTCACGAGCGGTGAGGCTCTCCCAGCCAGTCATATTGCTATCTCGTTCCAAGCAGGCGGCGATTCCGCTTCAGCCGGTCTCCTCTCCTAGGTGTACCTCCACCATCCTGCATCTACTAGACAAGACGCTCACAGCAGCGAGCGCATATAAGCACCCAGGCCCCTAAACGCCGTGGGCGTCTGCGTCTCGAGGTGATGCTCCTCTTATCACCCCCGGCAACATAAATCTCTCACCTACTCTCCCACCGCCTAGCCGTCTAGGCGCTTAGAGCTGGGGCCGGCTGCCTTGATCTGAGCGTTCGCAGCTAGTCGGACCAGTCCACGGGTTCCAGCAACCAAGGAACCAAGGAAGCGTCTGTCGGCTAGAGAGGAAACCGCCGTCTTGTCTACGCCATCGCTACCCCGGATCCCGCGCACGAGTTGACACCTTCGTTTCGTCACCATTTTGTGGGCGCTTGACAGCCGCGGAACCATCGGAAGATTGCCGCCAGTCCTGGTCCTGACGTTGGCTTGGTGATATGCTATTGCGTGCAACAACCACCTGCGCCGATCTCTCCTGGTCTACTTACAGCGTACTTTGACATGCGCCGATAACACGCGCGAGCACTCACTCCGCCCACAATGTCCAACCGGCATGCGCGTCTCCATAAACGAGGCTACTCAGCCTCTGCTGTTTCCAGTCCGCGCCCTCTGAGCCCCGTTGCTGACTACGACGTCGTTACCTTTAACCGTTCAGACACGCCCAAGGTCTACGAAGAGTCTTGGATAGAGACACAACGCCCCATGCCGTCTGCGACTTCCTCCCACCAGCTCAAGATCAAGCCTTACCTGCGCAAGCTCTCGTCCAAGGAGACCAGCGGGCTCGATCTATCACGCCCTGCTGCCGAGAACGACCTCACCGGTCTGGGTATATCAGAATATGGCGCCCACTCACGGTCCATATCCGATGTTTCTTTTTCGCCCGTCAACGGCCGCCACAGACACAATCGCTCCACCTCCAACACCTCGCAGTTCTCCTCGTCGTCTGGTCTGCAGCGGCCGACGCCACTGCCTGCCATCCGCCAGACTCCGCAGCCGTACACACCGCCAATAGCCCACTCGTCGCCGCCATCAATTCTCGGGAGCGAGCACGAGGGCGATGATATCATGTCGGACGACGAGTTCCGCTTGAGACAAAACGCGTATGAACCCGCGCGCAGATCCGGTTCCATCTCCTCGGCACAGGGAACATCCCTACGCATCCACACCAACAACTCGTCCACCCGCCTCGCTGGCAGCTACTCCCAGTCGTCCGTCTCGCTCACCTCTCCGATTGCCCAACCCAGGGCGCGTGGTGACACGCTCAAGTCCATCGACACCACCTCGCCCAGTTCGCGTACTTCCTTCGATCAGACCTACCGCTTTATCCGCGGCGGTCGTGACTCCCCCGTAGACCCCGCCTCGAGAGCTGCCTCCATTCGTGCTGCGCGACAGAAGTTCGAGGAGGAGCAGCGAGCCAAGGAGCGAAAGTACGAAAAGGTGGCACACAAGCAGCAGGAACGCGACTACCGCAAGCAGCAGAAGAAGGAGGATCACCAACGTCGCAAGTCAGAGACGCTCGACCGATCAGAGATAAACCGCACGCGTACTGTGTCCACCGACTATGAGAAGACGCCACGACCCTCGATAGCCGGACGCCCTTCAGTGGGTGGACGCCAATATTCAGACCACCGTGAGGCGCACTCCAACTCGCTGCCAAAGCTTGTGGCAACCGTCGACCCCGAGAAAGCAGCCGTCTTTTCCTCTACGCCCAAAGTCACCAAAAGCCGAGCCGCGAAGGGTACGTGGCAGCGTTTCGTAATCTGGCTCAAGACTCGACTGCTGCGCATGTCTGGAAAGTAGGCCGCATGCACCGCCACGGACACGCGCAGCGGATGTAGACAGCCTAGCCGCGTAAGCAGTCGCCTTGGGTGCCACCCCACTACCTCTAACCCCGATGCCCTACACACCCCTCTCACTTGGCCCGACACTTGAGCAGATTGGTTTTGCATCTCATCCTTATACCCCATTCTTTCTTGCATATATTCTTTCGTGTTTTTAGCATGGCGTTTGGTTTGGGATCACGGCCTTTTTCATGATATATGCTCCTCCCATGCTTATGCTATACATCTTGCGAGCATCTTCAGAGACTTAGCATTCTTCCTTTGGGCGCATTGGTAGAGACCTGCTTTGTTTACTTGCTTTTCATCATATCTTACACACTCATCACTTGGACATGCACTGGCGTTGGATACGCTCTGGGTACCTCTCTCAAGGCCGGCACCATGTGTCTGGCGGCGTTGCGAGAATTTGGGTACGGCGACTGGGTTTGCTTTCGGTATAACACGCTCTGGTATCGGCCATCGAGCTTCTCAAATGCATTCTATCCTTATCGAATCTTCGTTGACTACATTTGACCTCGGGATGCTTGCTTTTGTTCGGATGTCGTAATTTGACAGATTTACGCGTGATGACGCATCTTTTCTGACAGATCCCGATGTCGTGATATCTGCCAGTAATTGCTCAGTATGAGACTACGCATGAACGCTTCTCCACAACCACATAGAATGCTCATCACTGGTTGCGACATGCATAGAGAACTCTTGGCGGTCTCTTAAGTCCGGGATTTACCCGCGCAGCATCATCGTTCAACTCACATGCAAAGCTTTCCCCGCTTTTGTCGCATCGACGCCTACGACATGAATCACCGTCAATTGTAGTCGCAATGCCGCTACGAAGCCTGCCACGAGGCTCATTCGCCGTAAGAGGCGCAACGGGAGGAGCGCTATGGCGGACATGCGGAGCTGGTGCGGGAGTCGGAAGAATAACGCAGAGGCGATGGGCGAGCGAAAGAAAACCGATGGGCAGAGAGGACGAAAAGCCATTCTACCTGCAACTCAATGAGAGTATCTACGAGCGTGTACAGAAAGAGAAGGCCGAGCAGATCCAGATCCAGTCATTACAGCAAAGAACGGCAAGAGGACAATTCTTTGCGACAGTATTTGGTACCAACCGTTCATACACCCCAGTTGTCTCGTATACTAATAGTTGAGTAGCATGTCTTATGACCGCAAGCATCGGCTACTACTATGGCCAGATGATGCCTCCAATCGCAGACACGAGTTCGACCGCACCACTCGAGACCTTCAATCCTCCCAAGCACAATATCTCAGAGGCGAACATGGAAGCAGCCTGGACAGATTTCCGCGATATTGTCGGAAAGGAGAATCTCACACTGGATCCCAACGACCTAGAGTCGCACAGCGGATCATCGTGGTCTTCGCATCCCTCCCAGCCGGGCGATGTGCCATTCTGCGTCGTGAAGCCAGGCAGCACACAAGAAGTTAGTGCGATCATGAAGGTCTGCCATGAACGCAAAATACCAGTCACTCCGTACAGCGGAGGTACAAGCTTAGAGGGTCACTTCGCAGCAACAAAGGGTGGCATATGCATCGACTTCAGTCGCATGGATAAGATCATAAAGCTCCACAAGGGCGACATGGATGTTGTCGTTCAACCAGCAGTGGGCTGGGAACTTCTAAACGAAGAGCTGTCAAAAGAAGGTCTCTTCTTCCCTCCCGACCCAGGTCCAGGGGCAATGATCGGCGGTATGGTCGGGACAGGGTGCTCCGGTACCAACGCATACCGTTATGGCACAATGAAGGA